ACCTCTGTAGTTTTGTTTTGTTTTGTTTTTTAATGCATCATAGCTGAATTTTCTTTGAAAGCCTTGTGGGGAATTTTAGCCCATAGCAACATCAACAAAAAACCAGGGTATGTGCCTACGAATTGGTCCACATTTCAAGCAATGAGAAATGATTTATAGGAGGAGAGTGACAAAGAGCTTTTAATATGAGAATAAGAGTTCAGTTCTTCATCCAGTTGAAAGTAGAAAGAGGTATACAATATTTTAGCATCTTTATAAAAGTACTTATGAAATATTTCTCCCCTTTATCAGAATCTGGCTGCTTCTATAGTGGAAGCAATCAGTATTATTTGATAGTAAATTGCATTTGTGATGATAAATGTCTTTTCAGATGCCTCACATTTCTCAGCTTCTCTCCAGTTACTAATGCATCTCAATTTATCGCTTCATATGACTTAAAAATATAGTTAAATTTGATGTTAATGTATCCTAGTTTGACTATCTTGTACTTGATCTATGGAATGTCTCTTGCATTTCTGGAACTGATTATAAATTAGGCATAAGTGCCTTTTCTAAAGTCACAGAAACTTTGAAACTCTCATGTTTGATTAGTAGTAAGTGACAGGTAGGTTGTATTTCATCAAGTGTACTGATTATTAAAAGAAATCAGTCAGTTTCCCTATTTGTCAGCTTTATATGAGCAGAGATTCTGGAAAGTGGCCCAGAATGTGATTATAATTCCTAGGTTACATTTCCATGTGGAGTGGTAACATAGGTAGACATGCATAAGTGAGCTCTGAGCCTCTGACCCTGCCCACATTCACAGCATCTCCACAAAGCCCACATGGGGTGACCGTAAAAGCAAGGCATTCTTCCCGATGCACATGCACAACTGGACAGAGAATCAACACTTCCTGCACTGGGAGGGAGATATTCCAGGTGCTGCTAAACCTAGAACTTGTTCTATCCCTTCTCAAAATGCAGGCACTTTAGACCCCAACACACGTACCCTCACGCACTGATACCATCACTCAGAGGGCCTACATCAAAAAATGTACTGTGCAGGAGAAGGAAGCTATTTCCGGTGTAGCTGGTGGTTATGGTTGGCTGGTTGTACAGCGTGTGTTGAAGAGGACCAACTTTCCTTTTGTTCTTATACCAAAGAATGGTGTAAGCTGACTTGGGGAAAGCCGAAGGCAGCCCTCTACAGAAAGCAACTACAGAGAGAGAGAATTCTCTGTAGAATAAAGCCTTATCAAGATGAAGGACCAATTCTGACACAGAAAAGCATGGAAAATGGAATGAACAGAATGAGCCAGGATGGGGATCAATGAATGATGGAGAACATGGATGACATTGAAAGATAAGGACACAAATGAGACAGGGTCAGAGACATCCTGACCAATCCTTTTGGAAGAGGGATGGAAAGTTAGCATTAAAACTATATTATGAATTGCTGGAGAGGGTGTGAGAAAAGGGAACCCTCCTAGACTGTTGTTGGGAATGTAGTTTGGCTCAGCCATTATGGAAAACAGTATGGAGATTCCTTAAAAAACTAAAATAGACTTACTATATGATCCAGCGATCCCACTCCTGGGCATATACCCAGAGGAAACTCTAATTTGAAAAGATACATGCACCCCAATGTTCATAGCAGCACTATTTACAATAGCCAAGACCTGGAAACAACATATATATATATATATATATCTCCAGATGACTGGATAAAGAAGTTGAGGTGGGTGTGTGTGTCTGTGTGTGTCTATGTGTGTGTGTATGTATATATGTATATACACACACATAGACACACACAATGGAATACTACTCAGCCATAAAAATGAAATAATGCCATTTACAGCAACCCAGATGTACTTAGAGATCATCATACTAAGTGAAGGAAGTCAGAAAGACAAATATCATATGATATCACTTACATGTGGAATCTGAAAAAAAAATGACATGAACTTATTTACAAAACAGAAATAAACTCACAGACATAGAAAACAAATTTACGGTTACCAGGATAGAAAGAGGTGGGTAGGGATAAAATGGGAGTTTGTGATTTGCAGATACAAACTACTATATATAAAATAGATAGACAAAAAAGTCCTACTGTATAGTACAGGGAGCTATGTTCAATACCTTGTAATGGCCTATAATGAAGAAAGAATATGAGAAAGAATATATAAATGTGTAACTGAATCACTATGCTGTATACCAGAAACTAACACATTATAAATCAACTTCAATTAACAAATAAATACATAAAAAGGAAAAAATATATTAAAATATTTTTGAAAAAACATCATGCATTATGTGTAATTTGCTAGGTTAGCTAAATGGAACACAGCACGCAGCTCATAGCACAGAGAGGATTTATTCACTCTCAGCAAACACTTACTGTTCTTAGTGGAAGATTCACAACAGACTGGTTGCAGTTCTGGTTCCCACTGAAAGTCCATCACAGTGTTGAACACAGCTAGCCTGTTTCCTGCCTGGGGGTGGCACACAAGTTCACAGCCCATAATAGCGCTTGGAACGGGAGAAAAGAGGTAGAGATGATGGTATCCCTCCGTTACAAGAGGGGCCTTAGAGCAGGTATGCTCCCAGGAGTAACTGGTAAAGTGAGGGCTGACACTAAAGAAGTGTTAACGCAGCTCATTCAAGTAAATGTCATTGTTTCAACTATTGACCAGAAAAATTATGCATCCAGTAGAACTAAAGACGTGGAGAGAAGTTGTAGAAGGAAAGGGACGTCTTAAAAATATTAGCAAGATGTGAGTACAAATAATTCATTACTAAGAAATAGAAGTAGAGTTGTTCCTGCTTGACTTATTTCACCAACAAACCATTGGTTCATCCAAATATAGGCTTTCAAACCTGTGAAATTAAGAGGCGGCGGAAACAAAACAGTAACAAAAATAGTCTCCTTTTCCCTTCGGGGGAAAGATATTGCACACACAAACTCTGTGAAGCCACAGGTCTTACAAAAATGGTTCTTTCTGTTGGAACTTAAGAAATGGCCTAACTGTGCAATCTTTGAAGAGGCCCTCTGGAACATGCCTCTTCCTTGTGTTTGTCTTGCTTTGGGTGCTGTTGTTATGTTACACTTTTGTTTCCATAATTTTGGGGGAAAAAAGTTTTATTCCAACATTATACACACACATATCCAGCAGGAAGTCCTGGAGCTTATTGTAGGCTCTGGTGACATTCTTCCAGCTCTTCTGTGCACCCGACTTCTGCTTGCTTTGCCACTAAATGCTCCTACCTAAGAGGGTAGCTATGGAGACAGGGAAGTGCTGGGCCAGCCACAGACGAGCTGACGAGGGAGCACAAAATCTTGGCTAACTTGCCTCAAAGCAAAATCTAACTCTGAGGCTTTACTTGAAGTTGCACCTTTGTCTGGTTTCCTGTCCATCCCTATCCTGCTCCCCTACTCCTGGGAGCACCTTCTCTTTAAAATCACTTGCCCTCAGACTTGGCTCAGGTCTGCGTCTGGGAGAAATGACCTTGAGTTGAGTCAGGAAACCCTGATTCGAAACCAGATTAGATTCAGCAGGTGCAAGGCCTTGAAACCTTTCATTTAACCCGGAGGCATATCAATTTCCTCCTCTGTAAAATAATCTATAACTCTTCTTATTTTGCAGAGTTCCGGTGAAGATGAAAGGAGGTGATATAGAGGAAGTGCTTAGCATGGGCCCTAGTGTGCAGTAGGTACTCAATAAATGTTAGCTGAATGCGATGGCAAGTTTTAGCTTCCACGATTTTAAAACCAACAGTAGTAGTGTTTAGTTTCCCCAACTCCTCACCAGCTGGCATGCTAGATTCATATTTAGTGCACAGAATTCATCTTTTTCCTGAGTTACTCAGCTCTTGTTCCCTTGTTTTTTCATTGTGTTTAGCTGACTTGAATAGAAGACAAGTTTCTGTAGTCCCAGGTTGGTGGCTTTGACCCCTACGTGGGGTTGGATTCTATGAATGGCTTCATCACTCAGCTCATGCTGAACCATAAAATAAGTTAACAGATGAACTAAAGAAATCCAGAAGTTACTTTTCTCTCAACAAAATGATGGCTGTGTCTCCTTATGCCAAGTGCAACAAATATTTGGACAAATATCTGAGAAGTTCAAGACCAAGAAAAACTGAAGTGCTGAATTTCTCTTTAATTTTCTCTAGTTCATTACTTGCATAGAATGTGCTTTTAAAAAAAAATTTGTATAATACTGTCCTTGATATCTGGAGACCCTTTGTTTGCGGGAATTGCAAAAAAAAACTCTCCTTTAGTTTTGCACTTGGCTTGTGTTCTGAGCTTAAAACCCTGAGAGCTGAAATACACACTGTGAACTTCCTTGAGGGAAAATTAGAGATCCATTTCCCCCTCTTTGAGGAGATGCATCTAACATAAAATACGGGCATCTGAACAACACTCGTGGTTCGTGATCCTTTTAGCAAGTTGCCCAGGCTCGTTCGCATAATTGGCTTTCCCTTTATTCCTGGAAAAGCTAGGGACAAAAAATCAAAAGAAGTAATTATTTAATATCTCAGGTCATATTATCTGGAAGGGTTTAAGACATCCTAACAGCTTGGAAATGTCACAGTCCTTAAAATAATAATGTGTTTTGAACTTGGGTTTTTAGACTGGGTAGGGGTTTAATGGCATTGATTTTTCAGTTCTATTATAAACACTCTTTATGAATTTTATTAGCATGCATTATTCAAATGTTATTTTTATTTACCTTCAACTGTTGACAAAGAACATTGGAAAAGAAAGGTTTAGGGGCATAAATGGTATTTAAATTGTGATACAAACAGTAAGAAATAATGTTCCCCTTTGTAAAGATAAAAACTTTATATTTCGAAAAAAAATTACCCCAAGGCCAAATTACAATGGTTAAGTGGTCCTGCCTTCTGTGATGGGACCCAAAACAAATGATAGAAAACAAGCATTTGAGATCTGGCCTTAATTTTCCCGGTTTACCTCGATCTTTCACACCACACACAAATAATGAGGTGTCTTGATTTGACCATTTTGTTCTCTGAGGGCCAGGCAAATTTCCAGATCTTCTCATGGGGTCAGAAGTAGCCCAGTATGACCTGAGGTCTTCCCAACCAGACCTCAGCACCTTGGCCTTGGCCATTCTAGTCTTGTTCTCATCTTAGAAGAGGCAGCAGAGCTGAGTGATGACACAAGGGGCTAGTGCCATCATCCAAAGTCAGGATGGACAACATAAAGGAGGGACAAGGGACTGGTTAGGAGAAAACCAAGGTCTTGAATCTTTAGGGAGCACTCTAGGAATCTGCGTCCACTTAGGGGAGCAACCGCTATTGCCATTTTGATTGCAGTTAGGGAAGAAGAACCATGATGTCCTTGGTGAGTGCTAGTGGCTGTCTCTCCTTCCATGTGGTTTTGTTTGGTGCAGTGAAGGGTGACATTGCTTTATAGAAAGGGCATGGTCTTCAGAATTCAAACAGGTCAGATTTCAGATTGCACCTTTGTCCATTCCCAGTTGTACGACTATAAGCAAATTACTTGAGTTCTCTGAAGGGCTCTACAAAGATTAAATGAGAAAACCGTGAAGCTCTTAGCAGAATAATACGTGTTTGGGACTCAATATATATATACACACATTGATGTAGTTGATTTTCTCTGCTCAGCCAGCTTTATTGGATGGACTTTTCAGTGTTACTGTGGAAAATGAAGAGGTCATTCAGAATCAAGTCTTGAATATCTCTCATCTTAACTTTTTCAGATATAAAATAAGTAAACCTTAGCTATACTAGGTGCTTTCACAGGCATAACCTTCTTTTAAACTTGGGAGAAGAATAAGAGAGGGAGATGATAATGGTAATGTTTAATACAATAATTAATAAACTATTAAAATTTAGTGAGCACTAACTACCACACACTAGTCACACATTTCACATATTTTTTCTTTATTCCAAACACCACACACACACACACACACACCCTAAGTAGATACCATTATAATTATCAATGTAAGGATAAGAAATTTCAGGATCAGAGAGGTCAAGCAACTTTTCCAAGATAACACAGCTAGAAAGTGTCAGAATAGGGATTCAAATAGAACTGAATGAATACAGAGACTAAGTTTTGTGCCAGGAAGCCATGCTGTCTGCCTCCTTAAGTATGAGATCACCACCAGCCTCACCTGGAGATGTTGATCCTGATTTGTAGCTAGCCAGAGCATCAACAGCAAGTTGTCTTCACTATTATTAGGATTTCCTATGAGTAGAGTATGTGAACTGAGCAAAAATGGGTCCAGGCTGCATGGATGACGGGAGTATAAATGCAGACTGGATCACATTGTACAGAACAGTCTTCATAAATCAAGAAGCTGCCAACTCAGATCAACAACTTGGATGGCTTTCTAAAGATCTGATGTAAAATTGCCTGATATCATGATGAATGGGAACTTCAGCTACGGAGAGGAGGTGGTCACCAACCTGTGAAGAGGTGATCAGCTTCCCTAAGAATGTCAAGCATGGACCAAGAATCATCTAATTAATGAAGTACGATGATTCTTACAATCTCTTGTCCACCCATTATCAAAGAGTTTAGTTTCCTCTTGAAACAATCAATACTTTTTCCTGAAGAGGATATTTAAATATGTATAGGATCCTCTCCCATATTCCACTTTTATGGTAGATTTTTAAAAATTTTTTTGTGGGGGAGGTAACAAGATTTATTAGTTTATTTAATGGGGGTACTGGGGATTAAACCCAGGACCTCATGCATGCTAAGCATGTGCTCCACTACTGAGCTGTACCCTCCACCATTATGGTAGATTTTTAATTGCAGAGGCCTTATTGTGAATAAAGTTGCTTTGCTTTCTGTTATGAAAGCCTCAAGTTCCACTTAAAATATTCCCATGCTCTTTGGCAGTATGTGGTCAATCAAATGTGAATCACTGGGTAATGGAAAGAGCGCTTAGGGTAGGGAGCTGGGTCCTTGCCTTAGTTCTGACCCAAGCTGGCTTTGGGGTCTGGGGAAAACCACTTTCCCTCTCTTGGTATCAATTTTGTCATTTGTCAAAGGAAAAGACTGGTGAATTATATGACCTCCCGTCTCCCTTCAGTGTGGGTCCCTTTAATATTCTGTGGTTCTTGAATATCTTCACCAGAATAACACTCATCAAAGTCAAAGCTCCTTGAAAGGTCCAAACTGGTATTTCATAGATGTTATTACTTGTAACTAGGACCAGTGGAGACAGAATTGACCTTTTCTTCTAGGAAGCTGCAGCAGAGTTTACTAAGATTGAGTCTTTGATATAGAACTAGAAGCTTCTAGCATCTGAAACACCAAGCAGAGGTGGAAAGGCAGAAGTCAAGGTGAGGCTGAGAAAGAACAGGTGAGGAAAGAAGAGGAGCCAAAGGGAATAACGTAGGAGGGGGTAAGGGGAAGAAGAAGGAAGTAGGAGAGGAGGAAGAGGGAGGGAGGAGAGAGAGAAGGAAAAAAGAGGGGAAAAGATGGGAAGGGAAATTGAGAGATAAAACAGCTGAGATGGGGGAAGAAATGGATTCAGCCCTACAATCAAGGCCCTAGGTCCTTGGGATCTGAAGTGGAATTGCAAGAGGCCATGGGTACCTGGCAGCTCTTGGCTGGACCTCCAGTAGTTAGCCCTGCCTTGGAGGTGAGCCCTTGCTTCTTAGCCAAGTCCTGAGAGGCCAAGCACTTGACTCACAACAGGGATTAAATGAACATCTATTGACTGCTACAAAATATTTGCATAAAAGGAATAAACGATGTCATACCCGCAGATTCACTGTAGACTAATAGTCAACAGATATTCATGGTAACACCCTGTGTGCAGGTATTGTGTTTACATTACCTCACTGAAGCAGAGGTTCTCCTTCACGCCCTGCACTGGGGGAGGAATGGTCAGAAGGTAGAATTCCCCACGGTCCACCCCTTGCCTTGCTAGCGGTGGATGTCTCCCAAGCTGATTTGCCCAGCGACCTATTTTAATCTAGACAGATTTGCAATGCTTGGATTCTAAATTCTATACACACTTTGTATTATTTAAGGCAACTCCAGCTGCTGTAACAAATGAATACCAGAGCCTCAGTGGATGAACACACTGTTAAGAGTATTTCTTTCTCATGCAACAGTCCAGCGTGGGTACTGGGTAGGCACCTTCCACGCAGTGACTGATGAACCTTAGCTCATTCCCTTTTATCATTCTTCCATCTTCAACACAATGTTTCCACGCATACTGTGGAAAGTGGGGAAGGCAAACCTGCTTCTTAATCACAGTGGAACACCTAGAATGAACATTTCTTCTGCACACAGTTCACTGGCAAGAACAAGTCACGTGTCCGGATTCAGATGCTGGTAGAGAAGGTGACGGCAGAGGTGACTGATGAGAAATGCATTCCCCTTCCCCAAAATGACTCTACACTATGGAAGGAGAGCATGAATCCTGGTGGACAGCTAGCCATTTCTTCCCCACACTCTCTTCAGTAAAGAGGAGGAGGCAGTGATTCTCAACCTTGGGTCCTACCAAAAGATACAGTGTGGAAAAAATTACCTTTACCTATGAAGTCGTTCTTTTCTCTTAGAACAAAGATATATTGTAGTTAGAATAAAAGTGTTCTCATACATTTTTAAACTAAAGCATGAGATATCAAGCAAATAACACGTTTCCATACACACACACACACACACACACACACAAGTATCCATCGTCCTTTCTGTAAGCAGAAACGTTTAAGGAATCCTTAAATAATTGTTGAAAAACATAGGTCATAAATCTTAGCAGTCTTTTTTTTCTCCTTGTAAGTATTTCTTCTCTCCCTTTGAAAATGCAGTTTTACAACAGATTTCAGAAATTTGGAGACATCCCCCTTTCCCTCTTCTGTGAAAGATGAAGCTCTGATCCTTGTAGTCTGTAGTGGAAGCTCAATGCTTTATTTGCCCTAACTCAGGTGAGTTACTGAGGAAGACAGCGGAACATACTTGGCTGAACTCTGCGCCCCCCAGAGCTTCCTACTGTAGGGAGAGTAGCTCTCCCCCACTGCATTGTCTAACAGTGGACAGCTGTCATAAAGATAGGAATAAGATAGCAATCCAAAATGTCATGGCGTTGCGTCTAAGTAATTTACAGCCCTAGACGGATTCATAGTCTAGAGGTAGAAGAGAAAACAGGAGACAATGGGGGAAGATGTTATAATACAAACTGAAAGACTTGGAGGGGTGAGCAGACTGTAGCCTGAGAGTGGACCCCCACTGGGGAGAGGTCAGAAAGCTGCCCTGGTGGAGGTCACACGAGGCAGGCTGGGGACTGAGGACCCGATGGGCCTCTTTTTCTGCACCAGCTGCAGACCACTGTGGTATTGCAGCCTTCTGCCTCAAGAGAGTACGTTGACTTCCTGCCTCATGGGTGAAGTTTACTCGCCTGTAAAACTTGGAATGGGCAACGGTCTTGAAAACAAAATTTTCTCGAGAGAGAAAAGGGATTTTCAAAGTTCACCTAATTCATCTTTACATATCGCAAGAGGAAAGCTTTGCTAGAAGCCGTAATGTAAACAAGGAGCGATGCTGTGTGAGCAAACTCCTACCTGACAGAAAACAGGCAAAAATCTTTCTGGCTCTAGAGCCCGGCGAGCCTAATGCAAATCCTCCTCCTTCCCTTCTATCCTTGTGGGGGGGGGGGTGATGTAACAAGTCCAGATGTCGGAGGGAGAAGCTGAGCCAGCAGGAATCCGTGCCCCTCCTCCCGAGAGAAGGCAGTCTCAGCAGATGCAGCCACGCAGAGTCAGATGGTGGTGGCGGAGGGCTGGGGGTCTCTGAGTAGAGAAAGGACTGCAGAGACGGCACCAGACGCTCCTGCGGTCTCACAGGAGACAAGCAGGTAGCCGACGGTTCTGGTCCAGTAAGTGTGCTGAGTGAGGGCTTTGAGTCTCCTGGGCTCAACCTCGGCTGGTCAGCAGGGAGATGGCGGAGCTCCCAGGGAATGTTGCCTGTGTCGAGGGACTAGGACCTGAGTTTCACTAGCCATGTACCTCAGATAAGACCTGGTCACTCGGTGGACAAGGACATCTCAACCAGAGGTCAGGAAGAACTACAAGACAACACAGGGACATAAACACCCAGCAGCTGCCTCTGTTCTCCAGAGGACATGCCTGATTCGTCATTCTTACAGATTCTATCTTGGAGAGGATATTGGATGAACACTTGAAAGGCAAACACAGCCTGGTAGGGAGATGAACCTTGAACCACAAAGAGACTGAACTAAACGAGAGGGAACTATTTAATCCCAGCAGAGACTGAGATACACTGAATTGTCAGGATTGTTCTTCCAACAACTCCCAGCCCCTTTGGAAGGAAATCTTTCAGATTAACATGTGTATCACCTCTTTTTTCAGACCTCTAAGTACATTGTATAAAAAAAATGTTGACCCCATGATACTTGTATAACTTACATCTAGCAGAATACTATCACACAGCATATGCTTGGAATGCATTTCTTGCATAAAGATTTCAGACATAATACAGACTACTCTATCTTCTTAAACCAAAAAACAAGTT